TTTTTTTTATATAAAAAATGGAGAAATATATTAAATAATAAAAAGGTACAGTAAAAAACTCCATCACATGACATATAGCCTAAAGCATGAGAGCTTAAAAAAACAGAATCAGAAGCATAACATATAGCCTAATGACAGATTTAAACTATGCTCATAACGAATATATACAATTAAGTAAAGAAAGCCATCTGAAACTAGAGATTGCAATTGCAATCGCTGAATGGGCTAAATAGGGAAAGGAGAGTCACTATGAGCATTGGAAGCTACTAGACAAGTCTTCGCCTATTTAACCAGTTTCATGGGGAGAGTAAGGGATTTCGGCAACAAACAGTCCCCAACCCACAAGTTGTCGCCCTAATTTCCGCCGACTACTTTTAATCATGTGCCCATCATTATCGATCCTCTGAAAACCCTTGCAGGCGAAACTTTGTTAAAGGAACTAGAGCCCCTTTGCCAACATGAGTAACATGCTGCCGTGCAGATTAGAACCCGAACTGCCACTAGCAACCATATCGGTATTTGGCTGCCAGATCGAAAAGTGGAGTGCGCTAGTTTGTCCAATTGCCAACCTTGCCAAGATCTCATCTAAGAAGACATGCATAAGTGAAAATCATATTCAGAGGATGGGAGAAATCCAACCACCAGTCGGATCAAGTCCCACGGTATCCAGACACAGTAGTTAAAAATCAACAACCGATGCGAATCGAAAGGAGCCGCTGCCTTGTGGTCCCTTGGGTTGAAGTTTCCAAAGCAAGACAAACGACAAGGATGGAGGAAGAGAGCAAGAAGAGAAACCCTTGTTGGAGAAGAAGAGGAAGAGGGAGGAACTCCTAACCAGAGAGAGACCCTAAGGAGAAACCCATAGCCGCCGCCCCCAACCCTGGGCAGAGCACGAGAGAAAAAAAAAACCCTATCATATTGCACTATTTTTTGATAGTATATGTATTATTGTTAAACATTTTAAATATTAAAACGCCATAATTTTCATTTTTATTTTTGGTAACTTTAGTAAACACTATAAAGTTTCCATAAAAAGTGTATTATAAGAAACTGAAATTAAGGATATTTTGATATTTAAAATGTCAATACCCCTTGTAAAATTATTTTGATACTTTTAATTATTTTTTATATATTAATTTAAAAATATTTTAATCTTTTCATTATCCTAACATTTAGATTATTAGGGTATCTTAATTTTTCTCAGTTTCTAGAGTTGATAAGGTAAAAGTGTAGATCATGATTGCAAGAGATAAGAAATACTGGATAAGGAGGAATAAGGTGGGGATAACTGTATTTTGGTATTGAATTGTTGGACTGCATTTGAAACGGACAATTAGATCACCCGCATAATGACAATAGTCAACGGCAGGGCAATTCCCTTGTGCTCGTTCTTCTTTTCTAGGGAAACAATGCCTTTACCCCTTTAGTTTTGATTAGAGGTTAATTTTATTAAAAAACTATCTATTACAAAAAGTAATTGAGAAGATATTATATTGTATAAAGAGTTGATAAGTTTTATAATAAAAACATATTAAAATTTGATTGAGTTATTAATTTTTTTATTTGTTAAGAAATTCACATACTATATATTATCTTAGTAAGAAAGTTAGGGTTCTAAATAAAAAAATAAAAAAAAAATTTTTCCTTTAAAAAGTATATAAAGAAAATTTTATTAATTAAAAATTATATCAAGAAAAATAAAAAGATAAAAAAAAGTCATTTTCATCCTCCTTTTATTATAATAATACATAAAAAAAAAAAAAAACTCTAAAAAATCTACATCAGAGAGCCCGTGGGAAAAACAAAAAAAGTAATCTCTTTAAATAATAATTAGAATCAGAACTAATCCCACTAGCGTGTTGGCCCAATGGAATTGCGCCCCTATCACCAGAAGCCTTAAGGTTAGGTTTGAGTTCCCCTTCAAAAAAGTTGTTAAAAAAAAAAAAAAGGAAACCCAAAGGAAAAGAGCTAATCACACTTTCAAAAGAACAGAGCTAATCTCAAATTCTTTGATATAAAAAGAAGGCTATCTGTTTTCTTCTTCTTCTTCATTTTTTTTTTTTTTCTTAAAAGGGGCTATTAGGTGAATCTAAAAATATGTATGGACCTATGGTAAACTCCAATTTCTTTATTTTCCGATCTTGTTTTCCAGGTGGCCCAATTTAGAACGCATGGGTTTAGGCTGTTTAGCAGTTGAGGTCCCACATAAACAAGTACAGCCTGGGTGTCCATGCAAACCCAACTGATAAAATTGGGCCTCATCTAGTTTTTTGACCCACGCAAAAATCAATATTAAAAAATAAATTTTTTTTTCTAATATGCACACTAAAAATATAGATTAAAAATTTTTTAAAAATAAAAAATAATATTTAATTTATTAATTATCTATATGAAAATTGACTTTAAAAATTAATATTTATTTTTATATTTTTCAATATAAATTTACTAAAAAAAACACACTTAATGGGTATAATTTAGAAAAACCCAAAAATAAAATAAAATAATATTCAAGAAGCACTGTTACAAAACTCCCAGATCGGATCAATCGGCTTTGAAATCAATAAAATTTCAAAGCGAAGCAAGTCTTGAGAATTTCAAATAAGATGACCTAGATCAAGCTCGTTTTCTGTTCATCAATGGCGTTGAACTTTGTTTTGCTTCTGCTCAGCATAGAATCGTGAACAAAGACGACTACTACATTTCCAACTTCAGAAGATGAGGAGAGGTTACTTTTCCAAGAACCCAATTGCTTTTGTATTCATGGTGGTCTCTGTGTGCTGCCTTCTGATCGTGGTGATTTCAATCCTCAAAGTCCCAGACGTATCACCGGGGAGAAAACCTCTTCAACACAGTGCCACGGGCATCCTCAAAGTCTCCGACAATTGGAATCAAGTCGGTACTTTTGGGGAGATGATGATCCAGATGTTACCGGATGATCTCGCCTTCACCGTCTTCGTCCCTTCAGAGACAGCTTTTCGGCGCGATTTAAGATTGACGGCGGAGAAGGGGAATGAAACGTACGCAGTGGTCTCTCGTGTATTGGGTTTCTCCGCGGTTCCTCGGACGATTGATTCGGATATGGTGGTGTCCGGACAGGAGCTGTCGTATGATTCCTTGTCTGGGTTTACGTTGTTCATCTCGAAGGTTGCTAAGGGAGTGCTGGCGGTTAACAGGGTGAGATCGGAGAAAGTTGATATCAGGAAAGGGAAGATTGTTATGCATATAATGGATGGAGTCATTATGGATGCAGAGTTTGAACAGTCTGTTCAGCCTGATTACAATGGAGACGAGTGAGCCAAAGGGCCATAAACAAGCATAGTTGAATTTAGATGACCTTAATTTATAGCAATTTAATGAAGATTTTCCTTTTGCAATGCATTTGCCGATCCCTGCTAGTTTATGATTTAGAGTTACCGTAGTTAATCTTCCAGAAAGCATGATTTATAAGTCGTAAAACGTCTACATATCATAGTCAAATGATCAAACACATTACACTATAAATGAAGGATAGCATTCAGGTCTTATCGAGTTTTATGGAAGATGGGTCTCCTAGACTGCTTGCTACTTAGAATCTGCAACTCCCCTTTGGCCTCCCTCCATTGTTATGTTGTTTGCTAAAACAGACAACGTGACTCAGGGCTAGACAAAACCTGTCACTTTGGGGAAAACATCCTCTCGGACCATCTAAGCAGGGCAGAATCCTTATGTTTAGCTTCCAGCTGCCGCAGGTACAGCTACTGGCTTTGAGTCCTCTACTTTTTCATGTTCTTTGTTGAGGATCTGAAAAAAGAATCGGACCAAAGGATTAGCAGGGTAAAGCAGTTATCCTGAAAAAATATGGCTAAATGTAGTAGACGTAGATTCTGTATTAACGAAATACTGAAGGGATCATGGGTTAGAATGTCAAGGTGATACCAAAAACAAAGAAATGTTGCAGCTTTGATACATATATACATGTCTTATGACTCGAGATATTAGATACCTAACATGAAGGACGCTGAGCTACATAAATATCAACATCAAGTCCTATCAATCTTTTGGTAGGTGAAAGTGCTGTCTATGTTTCTTATAGCTCAATATGATTGTGTTCCTAAACTAGGTAAATCATAAAATAAAACTAGGTAATGCTTGAAACTTTAGAGAAGGGCATAATATCAGCACTCATGCTTTGACAGTTCCAATTCCAACATCATTCAGATTAAAGGCAGTAACTGGGCACTAGGCAGAATGTTCATGCTCTTAAATTGTAAAACATCAAGAAGCTATTTGTGCCAAGATAAAGAATAGCTGCACCTTATTGTTGATCAAGTTGTGGAGAGCTATCACACTTCGAATAAGTGAAGAAAGATATATAATCAACATCATATCATTTGTTTTCACTGCACAGAGAAAGGATATGAGAAAACCCCAAAAGAAACAACAACGAAATTTATAAACAAAGAAAACATGAGATAGGTGAAGCAAATTCAATAAAGCTCCCTCACCTGCAAATGCCTTAATCAACTCAGCTACATTGAGATTTGGAAGTAGGTTAAACACATCCTACAAAATATCAAAATATACAAACATAAAATCACAAAAACTGCATTTCATGGGCTTAAATCATAAAATAAGGCTTTTCCACAACAAAATTGTATAACATGAAAGAAAAAAAGATCATATGTTAATATCAACCAGACCTGTAAATGGTACAAAATTTCATGGTTTAGTGGGAGTTTTCCTTCAATTACAAGATCAAGATAGCTTCGAATTTCCTGAAGACGAGCATCCAATCCTTTCAAGGCTGTAAGTTTGCCAGTCACCTACAAAGAGCATAAAGATACATAAGTTTTTGGAATTGAAAGAAAGAACTGAAGAGGTAACTGACCTCTTGACCATGAACATAACAAAGATCTGTGTGACCGTGTGAGAGATGAACACTATCTTAAAACATTTTTTATGAATTTGGCGAAACAAAAACTAGGCATTGCTCTAAGACAAGACCTCTGTTGCAAGGGTGCTAATGGTTGTATCCTTGACATCCCTAAGCAAATGTTCCACACCTGTTAAATGAGGCAGAGGAAATTAAACATAATCAAGCATGAGTGGTCAAGTTGTTCCAATGAAAAAAAAAAAAAACCTTATTTACGTGTGCAATAAATTTACAATCCAACAAAGTACTAAGTTGATAATCAAGAATTTCATCTCTCTCACATACCAATTTCTTCAACTTCATGAGCAGCAATTTCTGAAGGTACATGCACAAACACTTTCTGGCTTTTCTGGGTTGCATTCTGAGGCCACACACAAATACCAGTTAAGTTGCTTATTCACATAAAGGCAGCTAGTAGAAAATGTATTGACAGCTCAACTAACAGAACTTTACTATATCGTTGGTCAAATACCATGGTTATATCGGTGGACTTATCTTCTTACCTCTTTCACCTCTTCAACTGCATAGTAAGCTTTTGTAGGGATTCCCAACTCCTTAGGTTGGACATCAATTATAACTAATACAGGATTAGGAACATAGCTGCATGAATAAAGAAAGAGTAAGAATACATGTGTAAAGAATTTAAAGGGAGCTAACAAAGAAGAAAATTTATTTTCTGCAGCGGCACATCTTACTCATTCAACAACCCATGGATATCCAGGTCATTCTCCCGTAGTTTGGGACCTGTGCTGTACCATCCAACAACATGCTCCTTGGCTGACAAAGTAAATGATCAAGTTATTAGAAAAACATAAAAAGGAAAAAACAAGGATACTACATTAAGTGTATGCGGACTAAGAATATCATTCAAATCAATACCATTTATTCTCTTAAACATGGAAAACATCGATTCATGGTAGTTATGATCGAAAAACCAGATGCTTGGGTCCTTCTCATCTTCTTCAAATGGCACTGCAAATTAACATCCAAAAACCAAATTGCATGAGGATCCTCGTTCATCTGGAAGCAAAATAGCTCTTTAACACCGAAACACTACTTGGCCTCGGTTTTTCAGAAACAAAATCTTATTTAGAATCTTAGACGCCTAGATGACTAGCCTACTTGGAATTGAATGGTTCAATAAATGAAGATTTATACTAGAAAATACTTTCTTCATAAGATTACTAATCAAAAGTTAATAAAGTAGCTCATAAATGCTAAAGGCATCAGCATTAGTATTTCCACAGAGTAGATATATCATATATCCTCAATCTGGATACAGAAAAAATGCTAATATTGCAGCTTATTACCATTGTTCAGCCAACGAGGTTTTCCATCATTCAAATTTAGAAAGAAGCCAAATATTAAAAGAAAACTCGAAATTAATGTTAAAAACATCACAATTCAGAACCGAAGGAGCCTGATTTACTGCCTAACTCCAATTTTAAAAAAATTAAGAATGGAAATTACGGCCAGGAAATAGAGAGTTGAGAAGAGAGCGAAAAGCAAACCTGCGTAGCTGTTGGTGACATCGACGGTGCCTTTGACGGTGGTGCCGAGGAGGACGCCGACGACGCGTTTGCGAGTATCCTTGGCGACTCTGTTATAGTTATCGACGATACTGAGGAGAACGAGAGGGTGCACTATCACCTTCTCGATCAGCATCGACGAGATCTGCTGCGTCTTTATCACATCCATCTCCGAATTCCGTTTCCTCTGCTTCCAGGCTCCAGTAGTCCCTCCTTTTTCGATTTTTGGATTTTCCTTGCTTCTTCCCCAGGAAAACTTCGAGTCTGCCCGGTGTACTTTGTTTCTCTTTCTGGACTTTTTTTTTTTTTTTTAACTTTTATTTGTTTGGATTGTAAATGGGCTTTTGCAAATTTCCTATGGGTTAAATGATTGGATCTACGGCCTTTTAATATATGGGGTTAGAGCTGGACAAGTCCAGATCCAATTTTGGCTAAAAAGTAGCCCAAACGAGACTGGATTGGATTTTTTATGCAAAAATAAAAATGGATTAGAATAACAAAAATTACGTAAATTTTTAAGTCTACACACATGTAACAGATGATCCGAAGAAGTAAATTAAAAAAAAAAATCCAGAAAATTTTTAGAGCTGGTTTTAGCAGAAATTTTTTTAGTGTTGTTTATAAGTATTTTTTTAGTTTAAAAATTATTAAGAATAAAAGTTATAACACTTATCTCCGGTTAAGTTTGAGAGAAATAGATAAAACAAATTAAAGGAAAAACTCCATCCTTTGTCTCCTCTCACTATTAGAAAATAGACATTTTGTGACGAAGAATTGATTATAAAAACTCATATTTTTTAATCACAAATAGAATTTATGTCTAAATTTTAGGCATTTGTGACCAATTTTACTATTACAAAATACCCATTTTCTTGTTGTGCCTCTTCTCTAATTTTTATTATTCAAAAAGGGAAAATTTTCCCCATCCCCTTCATCACACCAAACAAGCTTTTAAAATAAAAGTTACCTTAAAAGTTTTTTTTATTGTAGCAGAGAAGTTATTATTGCACCCCAAGTAAATATATAATATGAAACAGTCCCGGGGTTTGTTAATTTGACCTAAAGCATGACTTGGCAGCCATGGACTGATTGGTATATGAAATTCAAAGGTAGCTAGAGAAGTACATAAAATTTTATGCACTTCAAGAAGACATTTCTCGTAAGAGGAAGTGGAATTTCAATTTTCCAAGCATTCATTGAAAAAGAAAAACAATCCGCCAACAGAGTAAGCATGGAGATATAAAACAACGTTTCTACGAGCATGCAGAGAAGAATGTCGAAAGCATTTCGAATATTTAAATTTAAAAGGAAGAACTCAGAGAAAACTATAACAATGTAAATTTTTTTTTTTTTCATTTTTTGACTGCAACATCAAGATCCATCGTCCCATATTTTCCTCCCTAAACCTGAATTCTACAACAAGGATTAATTAATCCTGGAAGATTTTCTTTTTATTTTTGTCATTTTATTCCTTCAAATGAAGCTTAAACGCAGATCCAATGGTGGATGATCAATTTCCGATCCCATTGTGTAAGGGAAAGTCCCAACCGTCTCCCTGTATTCATTTGCATGCAAAGATCTCAGCTTCTCCTGTTCTGTTTCATCTAAGGAATTTAAAGGAAAAAGTTGTAGGGTCTCAATCACTCTTTCTGGCTGATCATGAGTAACTTGATTCACCTCAAAAAATCCTAAAAAAAGAAAAAAAAAAAAATCAAAGATGAGCAAAATTACCATAAAATATCATTTGCAAGTTTGAATCTTCAGACAAATAAGAAGGGATTTGGAAAACTCGAGGATTATTCAGTAAGAATTTTCACTATTTGAAAAAAATAAAAGAAAGACTGATTTCCATTTACCAAACAAGCTAGTGTAAACTCCTCCTTTTTTCTTTTTTCTTTTTTTTTTTTCTTTTTGCAAAAGTAGTGTGACCTGGTTGACTGCTTGCATCTCGTATTCAGAGAATAAGAGATAGAAATCAAGAAACAGAAGTTACATCGAACAGAGAGATGGTGAAGAAAGAAAGTATTAGTGTTTATATTAACTTACGTTTTGAAGCAGAAAACTTGTCTTCACGACGAAATACTGGATCATTCTCATCCATGGAAACTTTCCGCCGCTTCTGTCTTTCTCTAGCTTTATGGTTCTGAAACCAGTAAAAGACGTTCTTGCTCTCGATCTTACCATAAAAGCTGAGCTGAGTTGAGATCTTCTGGATTTGATCGGTGCTCGGCGTTCGGAGTCCTGACCTGAACAGTTCAGTCAGAACTTTAACCTGCTCAGTGGTGGGATTCCAACGCCCGCATTTGGTTCCCGTACTTCCATTTCCACCACCGTGTGCCGCCGCCGCCGCTCGAACTGCTCCTGCTTTAATGCAAAAGCCTGACACCCCTTCGTCCATATTCAAAAACAGAACCTCTCACTGAACTAATGAACTTTCTTTCTGCACTGCTGAACTGATCAAAAGAAACGAGAGTTCGTGTGCATATATATAAAAAAAGAGACACACCCACTTAAACTAATATTTTCCTTTGTATCTATCTCTTGTTTTATGTACCAATCTCTGCTTTGAATTTAGGATTAATTTGTGAGGATTTGATCTTACCTAGTTTTTTGAGCCTAGAAGTGAGAGATAGAGACATGCGCAAAAGCTGCCACTGCTGAACGTTTTGGTCGGCGAGACGACGAGAAGTAAGATTACACAAATAATGAATAAATTATTACATTAAAATGTTAATTTGTTTGGGATTTTTGTGTTTTTCAGTAAAGTATGCACTTTGTACCATATATAAAAATTAAGGCTTGTTTTTGTGTTATATGCATGCATGCTTTAGCAGACTATTCTAGAGCAAGTCCAAACCCCACAAAGACATGTGAATAATCCAAAAATTGTTCTTAAAAATAAAGGGGTTTTTGCTAAAGAATTGGTAAAGAAGGTAATAATGGTGATGGCATAGAGGGAAATTAAGTCAAAGTTTTACATTGTTTGATCATATTTGGAGGGTTGTGATCGAAGCTGCTGACAAAGATACTGAGTTAGTTTGACTCTAATAGAAATGGGATGAGTAAAGTTGGGACTAACCCTTCTTTTAAGGGTGTGGGAACACAAACTAGAAGACAATAAAGCCACCAAATTGAGATTCGGGAACCAACTTGGATTTCTCATATCATGTGGTTCCTGTCCTAAATAAGGCAGCTTTTAGTTCCATTTTTAAGTTTCATGATATAATTTGGGGGCTTAAATTTAAGTTAGTAATAGTTGTTTGATATTTGCACTTAGGGTTGGGCAAACAATCAATTAACTAAATGGGTAACTGAAAATTGTTAAAAAATTAACCAAATTAATGGTTAGATATAAATGGTTGTTGATTTTTTTTT